CCAAGGCTGGAGTTTGATTATATTGGTTTAAAGAAAATATAATAGTGAAATTGCAACAAGCTGTTAAAATTGTCATTTAATATATCATACTAATGCCCTTTTAAAATAAATTTCTCAGAGAATGAGACAGTGAATGCCTCTAATAACTGCATAATAATCCCATTCATATATAAGGAGATTGACAAATTTTCTTTCAAATAAAATTAAAAAAAAGATCCAATAATATTTAGTAAATTATTAAAATAATCTTTGATAGTAAATGACTCAAACTTAGACGTATCAGTTTGTTGTTGTTGATAGGTGCTGATGAGTCAATATTTATAGTGACATATTAAGTAGATGATACTTAAAAAATTGAGTGACATGGCTATTTCAATAAAATGCAATTCTGTTTAATCTTTTTTATTATTAATAAATTTAAAGATGCTGAAATCTGTATTATCCTACCAATAATAGTCTTCCATGGATATTTTTAACTAATCAAAACAAAGAAAAATAAATTCAGCTCATTAATACCATTGAGAAGCAGTCCCTCCAGCATTGTGTAGTTTCTCTTTGAAAATTTTAATAAAATTTTGAATATATTTTAGTTTGTAGTGTAGTGCCTAAGGCATTTGACTGCTAACCAGAAGCCTGGTGGTTCAAATCCACCAGCCACTCCTAGGAAGGAAGGTTAGGCAATCTACTTCTGTAGTGATACCACCTTGGAAACCCAATGAGGAATCACTAGGCATTGGGTCCTACTCGACCGCACATAACAACAGCAACAACAGCAGCAATGGGGATTGTAACGATAATTTAAAGTAGGCAAATATTGCATAGAATTTTGTTGCCCCAAAAAACTATAGGTCAATTTATATACAATGCCTTTTTACTTTTTACACTTGGCAGATATATACTTTTTATTTGCACAGTAGAGATTTCTTCATCTATAAGAAAGGATACAGTCCTAGGGAGTAAGTGGAATTTAAATAGTTCACAAGCAAAAGAAAGGATATAAAATCTGATAATTCATGTATTTCAAATGAATTATAAAGGACTTCAGATAGCTATTGTATAAACTGGAAATTGTAGGTCTTCCTTTTTCAATTTTTACTTATGATGAATAATACCAATGAAAGTCATGGTCAACATAGTAGCTATGAAATCAGCCACAGATGACTTTGGAATACAAAGGTAGATACTTTTATATCTTTATATGGAAGAGTGTAAGATTTAACATCAGTGTTTCCTGAAAAGTATAATTGTCTGTGTGGTTAAAGTTCCAAATTCAAAACTTTGATCACAGCAATGGATCTCCATTTCCTCAAAATAAAAACGAAAGTGGTTGCGTCTCTTCCTTCAAAAAAAAGTAACCATTCTTTGCCAATATAAAGGAGAAAAAACAGAATTTATTCTTTGAAAGGGATTATTTACTATTTATTACAATCAAGATTAATTTCAGCCACTGTGGAAAACGTTCCCTTAAAAACATTTCCTCAAAAACTTGGAAATAGAAGTACTATTTGATCCAGCAATTATACTGGGAATATACCATAAAAAGGTGAGATCCGGGACACGAATAGACATTTACGCACACCCATGTTCATCACAGCACTATTCACTATAGCAAAAGATGGAAATAACCTGTTGTTGTTGTTCTTGTTATTATGTGCCATCGAGTCGGACCCGACTCATAGCGACCCCTCCCTGGGTTTCCGAGGCAGTATCACTATGAAAGTAGATTGCCCAACCTTCCTTCTGAGGAGTAAATGGAAGATGGCTCACCATACTGTGGTACATTCACACAATGGAATACTATGCAACTTGAAGGATATTATACTGAGTAAAATACGTCAATCACAGAAAGAAATATTGTATGAATCCATTATTATAAAAGTCAAGGATAGTTTAATGCAGGAATGGAATTTTACTTTGCTGGTTACCAGGGATCTGAGGGAAGAAGAGGAAAAATTTCTTACTAGTTAAGATTCATGAACTGATTGGAATGAAGGGAAAGGCAATTCTTGCAAGAAAAAAAAAAAAAAAAAAAAACGAAAGAGGAAAAAAAAGATCATTTAATTTTTCTACTATTTTTCACCATAATTTCTAATTAATTTAATTTCCTCAAAAATGTAAAACTTAATTTTGCTCATGTTGTGAAACGCAATTTTAAAGACTTGTTAGGTATTGTTTGCTTGGTTCTGACATGTAATAGCCCTGTGCACAGCACAAGGAAACACTGTCAGATTGTGCACCATCCTCACAAGGGTTGCTGTTTTACCATCACAGCCACTGTGTCAAGCCATCACATGGAAGGTCTTCTTCTTTTTTGCTAACACTCCACTATACCAAGCAAGATGACCTACTCCAAGGATGGATCGCTCCTGATATGTGCACAGTATATGAGAAGTCTCATCATCTCGGCTCCTAAGCAGCCCTCTGGCTGCATATCTTTCAGAGAGATTTCCTTGTTCTTCTGACCGTCTTGTATATTGATTGTTCTTCTCCATCACCATGATTCTTCTTGGTCTTCGTTATTCATTTTCCACTTTTGCAATCAAATGAGATTGTTGAAAATACAGTAGCTTGGGTGAGGTGCACTACATCTTTGCTTGAATTATACTCTACAATCAAATTCTAATGGAAGACATTCCAGTCTCATTGAACCTACAACTCCTGGAAGGGAAAGCCTAGGAAAATGAAAAAGGGGTTCATATCTCACATTCAAATGAATGAAAAGTGAAAGCATTTGAAACAGCTTCTAGAATGAAAACTAATTTTTTAATAATATTGATATGTATTAATATTGTAATATAAGGAAGGAATAAACCTTATATTCATCATTTATGACCCTATTTTAAATTGAATTGTAGCACTTTAATGATCAATCTTTTCAAGTAAGTCAGACAACAAAGCCAATGCTGGTTTACCATTGTCTATAAAGAATATCTATCAAGTTGCCATATTCTACAGTTGTGTAAACAGATGTCTAAGGAAGCCATGCTTTTTGCAATAACATATAGATATTACATGATCAATTTATCACTATAATGCACATTCTCTGACTCCATGCATTTATCCATCTTCCTAAACCCGGTTCTCATCCACATTACAGATTGAAATAGTATTCTTTGATCTAAGGATCAAAGTTTCAAATGTTTCTTTTACTAGTTCTTTTCGGTGCTTGTCAGATGAATTTTAGAACTATGGGAATGAGTTTAATAAAAGTTTGAGGACTGCGGAGATATTCTGAAGTGCTGTATCAAGGTGAAAATAGAATAGAATTTAGAGACATGACCCATTTGAAATATAACTTTGGTAAAACTCTAACTTTGATGATGGCACTTCCCTTTTTTAAGCCTTTGTCTCTGTCTCTTCTCTCTCTTCCAGAGACTTAGATTATTGATTCTGTCCCTGTATTTCTTGTTGTGAATATGGGAAAACATCTTAAGGTGAACAAAGTTTTGAGAAAGAGGTTCTTAGTACTAAGAGGATAGGGGGATTTTTCCAAATAGTGAACTTAGCTAAAAGGTTAGAAATCATGTCCTTGTACTCCCTGACCATTCTCATAGTCTCCAAAAATAGTAGTATGGTACAAAATCATGGCAGCAGTTATCTTCATATTTACTCAAACAAATATTTCTTAAGTGTCTACTATGTACCTTGTCTCATTAAGGGACAACCACCTACTCAACCAAAAACCCATGACACTAGCCATATTGAGGAAGTAGGGAGATGCTACCTTCAGGTTACTCATTACTTACTTATGTTATTCTCAAGGTACAGGACATCTGTTTATATGTATTGATCATAGAACTACACATGGTGGATATTTGATTGTTCAGTGTCTCTCAAAGTAGCTAGATCTAATTAGAAATATCATCAGTAGGATTTCTAAAGCTATTGCCAACATCTCTGAGTCCCAATCTACAGAGACATTATGTAGTGTTCACAGTAAGATTTTGTCTTTGCTTCTGATTTATTGAATAGTTTTTATTAACTCATACAGACTCCATATTCCTTTAATGTCCCAGATTTGTACAAGATTCTTGATTATCTACTCTATTAACACTGAAATTTCTTCTGGCTGTATTTCCATTATTTCATATTTATAGTACTCAATGGTGTCAATAGCAGTTTATACCTCTTGATGAGTTGTCCAAAGAAAATGAGTCATACAATGTTTGGTTATGATTCATAATGTTTCCATTGGATAATTTTTGGAAGTAGATTATCAGGCCATTTTTCCTCATATATCTCAGTCTGGAAATTGCATTAAAACCTCTCTACCATGGCTCATCCTGCTGGTATTTTAAATATTGGTGACATATCTTCAACAGCAACAGCATATGCTTAACAGCAACATGCAAACCATGACAGTTCAACAAACTATTTATTATGTATCATTTAATTTTCCTAAAAATAATTTTAAATATTGCTGATATTTAAAGATGAAATAATATCTGAAGTTCCAACCCACCAGAAACTGCAATGGAAACACCATTACATTACAAAATGTGTAAAGAAAACAAGAAACAAACAATTATAAGATAACAATAAAAAATTAAAAATATGTACACATATGTAATTGTCATTAATGAAAATGCTGTTGAAGTGTGTTATTCATTGTCAATAGTCAAAACAAACAAATAAACTGAAATTCAGTATTCAAAAGAATCACAGCTTCCATTATGGATATCAAAAGAGACTGTCATGAAATCCCCATTAGAATTTTGAAGTTTTCACAACAAACTAACTATCTGTGTCTTAACAGTGCCATTTCTGTATCTACTTAGAATATACGAGTTGAAGTAAAGCAAATAGATGGGCTAAAAATTTTAGCATATATTTAATCCATCTCTTGTTAGTTGGAATGGCACATTGAAAAGTGAATCTAAACCAATTATTCCTAGCTCTGTAGTTCCTTATTATTTTCTCAACTCCAATATGCGGCCCACCTACTAACCTCTGTATTACATTCCACTTTAACACCCTGAGTCCTGCTAAGAAAGTGTTCTCTAGGAAAAAATGTTTGGGTACACCATTTTCCTGAGAGCTTCCTTCACATCCTTATTCCTCAGGCTGTAGATCAGGGGGTTCAGCATGGGAATCACAATAGTGTAGAACACAGTGGCTATCTTGTCTATCTCCAGACTGTTGCCAGAGCTGGGTCGGCAATAAATGAAAAGTATTGTTCCATGGAAGATAACGATGGCTGTGAGGTGGGAGGCACAAGTGGAAAAAGCTTTGCGTCTTCCCTCTGCAGAGCGCATCCTCAGGATGGTGATGAGAATAAACAGGTAGGAGGTGAGGATGACCACCATGGTGATGATCTCATTGACAGTGGCCACAATGTATACCACTAGTTCATTCATAGACACATCAGAACAAGCAAGAGTGAAGATCGGAGGTAGATCACAGAAGAAGTGGTTAATCACATTGGATCGATAGGATGGGATCTCAAGAGCTAAACACAAGTGTATCAGAGAACACACTGTTCCACACAGGTAACAGCCAGACACTAGCTCCACACAGAGCTTTTGGGACATGATGACCATGTAGAGCAGGGGCTTGCAGATGGCCACAAAGCGGTCATAGGCCATCACGGCCAGCAAGATGACCTCAGTGACTGCGTAGGTACAAAACAAATAGAATTGTACCATGCATCCCAAGAAAGATATGGCTTTGTCCTTGTTTATCATATTGTCAAGCATCTTAGGCACAATGATGGTGGAGTAGCAGAAATCCACAAAAGACAAGTGGCTGAGGAAAAAGTACATGGGGGTGTGCAGCTTTGAGCTGACCTGAATCACTGTAATCATGCCCAGGTTTCCCAACACTGTGACTCCATAGATTAGCAGGAAAAGTAAGAAAAGGAAGATTCTCAGCTCTGGTCCCTCTGATAAGCCCAGGAGAATGAACTCTGCCACTATGGTACAATTTACATCCACCATTTTTCACTGTATTTCAGATCTGGGAAAGAAAATTACATTTTTTGTCATTCTCACAGAAGAAAACAGGTTTTTGTATTAACTTCACAGACACAGAATATTGGTATGAAGAACAGTTTTTATGAGAAAACTATTTATAAGAAATACAATTGTCAAACTCTTTAAAATATTAAAACCTTGGTAGATTCCACACATTAAAAAAAAAAAAATCAACAGAGACTTAAAATTCTTAGAATTTATCTACACAAGACATTAAGAGTACCTATGACGTTAATGGTTTGCTGGCTCTTTGAAATCCATTCAATGTTTTCCCTTACAGCCCCATAGAAATTAACTCCTTTACCACGAAAAACTTACAAGCTCTGTCCAATTGGGGTTGTAGCTCTTGTGATCATGTATAATATGCAATTAATATTCTTTTAAAATTTATTAACTTTTATTAGTAATGCAAATTTGCAGAAATTGAAACATTCTGTATTGCCAGTGTTGTGGAGTATAACATAATTTCTCGAGATCAGTGACTTAGAAAAGTCTTTTTAAAATGGGTACTACATATGAACTCTTGAATGAAAAACTATTTTGCTCTATAAATTTTCACCCAAATCACAGTAAAAAAATAAAACCAAACATAATTAAATAAACTTGCTATTACACTGAATGAAGAAAGATAATTAATATAGTTAATGAAATTCCCAATTTTTTTCAGCTTATCAAATTAACCAAGTAATTTTATTAATTATAAGGTTAGTGGTCAATGCACCCAATGCTAATTGCTGTATAAACTTTTCTGGAAAGCAGTTAAAGGACATATACCTAAAGCACGTACATCAAGAGCAATGAAAGGTAAATCATCCTTTTTGGATATTTTATTTTCATAATGGCTAAATAGATCAACAAAAAGTTTGAAAAATTATGTTCAAATCTACATTGCAGCAATATTTTTCATATTAAAAATAGGAAACTATTAAATATAAAAATAGATGAAATGCTTAGACTATTGCACAGTGTGATTATGATAGAAAAACATGGCACTTTTAGACATGGTTAATTAAAAACAGGATAATTAATAGTACAGCTGTGGAGCTGATGCAGCTGTGGATATAGATACGTAACTATGAATGCAGATGTTGTTGTTATGTGCCATCAAGTTAGACCTGACTCATAGGGACCCCTCCTTGGGTTTCCGAGGCAGAATCATTATGGAAGTAGATTGCCCAACCTTCCTTCCAAGGAGTGGCTGGTGGGTTTTAACCTCCAGCCTTCTGGTTAGCAGTCAAATGCCTTAGGCACTATACTACCAGAACTACTATGAATGAACATAGATGTTATATGCCTAACATCAGACTACTATCCTGAAAGGTACATACTTTATCCACATTAAATAAGAAACAAATAAAATTTTCCCTAATTTCTCACAGAATATGTTGGGGGGAGAGATTATGTTATCCGTCCTGTGTAAAGGGAGCTGCAACCCAGACTTTTTTTTTCTGAAAATGCAGATATATAGAAGTGGTGGAATTTTAAAGTATGCCCTCTTTCCTAAACTCACAGAAACATATATGATGACGGTTAAATAAGGAATGACAGGATTGGAACATATATAACTTGATGCTTTCTCCATGTCTTGGACAAATTTGAAGGAAATGGGAACCAATAGTTGTCCTGAAGTCAAGGATTGATCATCTAAATGACCGTTGTTAGGCCATTTACATACATACGTACATACAGTTTTTTTCCAACCCCTAAATTAAAGAGAAAAGTAAGCTTAGAAGGTTTCTTCTCAATCTAAGCTGATGGTAAAGTCAATCATTAGCTCCAAAGAATTATCTTCTTTCTTGAGGAAAGATAGCTAACAAGTCTACGTGTTCTCATGACCAGCTCTATGGGCACCTTAATGCAACCCTCTGAATTGGTCTGACAATTAGGAAATACCACTGTGGTCATCTTCACTGGAGTTGATGAAGCAAATTTGTGGGAAAGAAGGAAAGAAGGGAAGAAAGGGGGTAAAAAGATTTATCACTTTGTTTGCTCCATATTCTAATCCACTCAATTACATCTCACCCAATGTTTGGTGTCCCAGAGGAAGTGTTTTAACTTTCCATACAATATCTCTTAATACTAAAGACTGAATTACTTTAAACAATAACTGCACAGATAATATATTTCTATGTACACACAGTCTAATGAGGAGAGAGCTTATTTTTATTACAGAAATTTCATATAGAGTTTATCATTATTATTGGAGCCTTTAAGTGTTCTGTATAAGTAGACATTTTAGACATATTTTAAAATATTTTTATCTTCATGAAATGTATTTATTTCAGTATTCAAGCAACTAGAATCGAGTTGTAGATATCAAACCTTACTGATAGGCATTTCTTCCTGGGTCCTGAAGATGCCAGACTGTGTATAGTATAGAATCAGACATTTAATACTGTAACTTAAGAATTTTGGGACTGGGTCCTTTATGTTCCCAACCCAATTATTTCTCTGTATGGAGTACCAAAAATAAATAATTAAAAATAATCCCTCTAGCATTGCAACTTAAACAAACTCAATACCCTATCTTGGGAAACAATTATGAAAATCCAAATGTGCCTCTTCATCAATTTAATGGTGCATTACGGGAAGCCAGAGTCCCAGTATTATATATGATTGTCACAGCTCATATTGAAATTCATAAGTAAC